ATCTATTATTACTACTATTTCTACTGTTATTCTTATTATTATTACTGTTAAACCTTTCCACTTTCTGCTCCATTGTATGTAATTCCTGTTTCCTTTTCCCATTGTATGATACTATCACACCCCACTTTCCATATTTTTTCTTAGGATTTTTCCACTATCTTTTTACATAAGCTTCTTGTTAATTTGCTTATTTTGTTTTTAGGTAAAAAAAAAATATATATAAAACAATATCTCGCGTTTATTCTGAAAACTTCGTGACATTATTTGGTTGGGCAAATGGCAACTGTTTAAAACACACGATAAATTTTCCAATTTTTTTGTTACACTGTAATAACGCAGGACATTGCAGATCGAGTGTCATATATACATATTAAATTTATCGTGTAACAACCCGTACAGTCAAATTAACATTAAGATTGAGTTGCATTACGAATAATTTGAGTAAAACAAATAAAACGAATAATTTGAATAAACGAATAAAACGTATAAATTCGAATTAAGATTGATTTGTGTTATTATTATTATTATTATTATTATTATTATTATTATTATGAATAATTCGAATAAGAATTTGTATTACGAATAGAAGAAACTCTAGTCACAAGCCCACTCAAAAGAAAAAAGTAAAGATCGATACTCTCTGGAGCATGCAGTAAACTCTAGCGGCAGCAAGCATCGCCCGTATTTATTTCATCATTATAAATACTGTATGTGAATATATAATATGTTTGGTATTTTTCTATATTCTTGTTGGATAAAATTTTGTAACACCAAGATAGATGGTTAGCCGCGCGGTTAAGTGATTAAGGTACCAACCTCTATTCAAATGGATTTCCAATTAAAATTTCCCTAGCCAGGATGGCATCAGGTCTCTTATGTAGATATCTTTACAAACTTTCTGTGATTCCATCCAAGTTTTTTCAACCAGACACGAGCTGTTTTTTCAGTAATTTTCTTTTTCATTTTCTAGATCATGTTCGAATCAAGCGAGTTTTGCACCAATACTCTCTGCAATCATAATTTTTAATGCGCAATCTAAAAAATTAACACATTGTTTGGATGTGTGCTTCTACCTTTTTCTAGTATTGTTAATTTTGATAAAGTTTTTCAAACTTTTCAATCAAGTCTTTTTCATTACTTTATATTTCAAATACTACTTTTTTAATAATTAATTTCCGCTTTTTACTCTTTGTTGAATTACTATGTAATTACAAACTATCAAAAAAACGGACAAGAGTTTTAAAAAAAGTAGTATTTTCACAATGCTATCAACTGTAACATCATTTGGAGAACTTTTCTTTACGAAAAAGGATGGGTATTTGCAGCAGCAGTTTTAAAGGCAACATTTTTTTTAACATGCAGAATTAAACAGAATGTCTTTTTGAGCTAGAATTAAAATCATTCGCAAAAGTATGATCATACCAAATTTCATCATTAATTCATTTTCAGATGTTTTAAGTCATAAAATTGTTTTGTCTAATCATCTAAGAATCTTCATTATTTACATCTTAATGATTAAAATTTTTTTGTGCTTTATAATCACCTGCTTTTTTAATTGACTTTTAGAAGTCAGAATTTTCAAATTTTTTCGAGAAAATCACAATTATTGAATGACGTAAATTGTATATTGAGTTCAAGCATCATTTTCAACACCACTAAGGCTTTATTTAGATAAATTGACAATAAAAATTCATACAGGAATCATTCATCACCATAGTTTGTTTAATAAATGAAGGATCGTTGCTTGTTAATTTTGATTTATTTTGTTTTACTCCTCCCACATTATAAATTAGAAATATATATTTCTTTTTTTTAAAAAAATGCAAAAAAAATTATGATTTTTGTACCATAATTATACAATCTATACTACTTACTACTACTACTATTATATAGGATCATTATTGTAATCTTTTTTTTTAATAATAATAATAAAAATTAAATATTTATAATTGGTTTTTTCCTACTATAAATATTATATTCATATCAATGTTTTTTAAATAATTAATAATTAATAATGACAATGATAATCAAATTAAAAATATGAAATGAGAAAAGAAATTATTGATAAATAATGATGTGATATGATATAAAGACAATTGGAGCATGCAGAAGAAAAAAAAAAGAAAGGTATCATTAAAAAAATTTTATATAAATATTTTTACATAAATGAAAAGAAAGGATAATAAAATAAAGAATATGATGATGTTGAATTAGATATTAACTTCATCAAATCTTTGAAAAACAGCATTCATAAATATTTCTGATATGCCAGGATTTTCTTTTTCAGCATCCTCAAAAGCAATCCTTAATCCATCCAAAGTTAACCGAGCCTTTTGAGATGGTGCAGTTTTACGCAACTATTTAAATATCAAATTAATTTCTAATTTTTAAAAAAAATCAATATTAATAAAAGTATTCTATATTACCTTGTCAATAGATGGAACAATAACTTTAGTGAAAACCTCTGGACCCGATACTGATACTGGTGGTTCTTCATGATTTTGATATAAACCATAAACATCATCATTATCATTATCATCATCAATCCTGCTTATATGTTTAATTGTATCATATCCAGAATCATTTGTTTTTAATGCCTATTAACAGTTATTAATATTATATATTTAGAATACTGATTTAAGAAAATTTAAATAGTTATTGATGAATATTGATTTTCAATACCATTGCTTGTTTTCCTTTAGCAGGACCAATTGTGGCATTGTCTTCTGAATAATCATCCTCTTCATTATATGATGTTAGTGAAACTGGTCTTGCATGTTTAACAGTCTCAAATTCCCAAGATGGTTCTTCATAAGAATCATGTCTATTGAAATTATGATGTAAAAATTTGGATCAAAAAACTAATGAAATTTATTTCTACATATTTATATTTATGATTTTACCCATTTTCATTATGTGTCACTTCATCTGTATCATCATGACCTCTCTCCACCAACCATCGTTGATATCGTTCAATTAATTCTGTTAAATATGAAGTTTTTTTGGCATTACGAATAAATTTGTTTTTGAGCAATTCTTTTGCAGACAGTCGCTAATTGTAAAAAAAATTTTAACAAAAATTTGTAACAAATAGGTTGAATGAATAAATCTTTAATTATAAAGAAACTAAATAATACATTTTTTGGATCTTTGTCCAAACATGCAGCCACAAACTCCTTAAATGTTTTAGAATATATCCCATCTAGACTTGGTGGTGGATTTTTAGGGATAAGGAAAAGAACTTTCATTGGGTGTAAATCAGCATATGGTGGTTCTCCTTTGGCAAGTTCAATAGCAGTTATACCCAATGACCAAATATCTGCCTAAAAGTGTATACATGTGCACATGATTAATTAAAATTAAATTAATGATTTGATAAAAAAAAATTATATTATAAATAATTACTTTAGAATTATATCCAGATTGCTTTATTACTTCCATGGAATCACTTTTAGAAATTATTACTTTTGTCTGTTGATCAATATCCGATTTTTCCAATTCGATAGGTTCATTACCATCATTAACATTATATTGCTTAATTGATGAAAATTAAAAATATATGAATATATAATATACATACATACATATATATATATCACTTTAAATGTATCATGTAAATAACCGAAGATATACCATTTTATCGGAAAATTTGACTTTCAGTTTTATTCCATCATTTTGCGCACTAATTAACCGTTTAATGATTTGGTCGGTTAAGTTAACTTGGATGCACTTTTTCTTGGATTTGTCATCCAAACTTATTTTTTTCTGATCTGAAAATTCTACAGTAGTAGGGCTTGAGATTGCGTTAGTAGACTTTTTACTTGCTTTTATGGTTTGAGACATGTTAAAACTTATATAAAAGAGCGAATGAATGAGGATGAACCCAATACCAATACTAATAATACTAATGGTTATTTTTGTCACAAACGATCGTCAAATTTCTATTACAATTATGCAAATCATTTATAATATTAATATGAAGTAACGTTTGACGAAGACAATTCCCAAAAAAAAATTTTATTACAATATTTTGTAGAGAATAATAATAATAAATAATAAATGGCATCAAAAATTCAGGAAATAATGCTTTTCATGCAAATTCCTTGAGGTCTAGTCGCATTTTTAATTATTTACTTGCACTCATAATCCCATTTCAAACAAATAACTTGATTGGTTTTAATGTCGTTTGATTTTTTTGTATTGTCAGCCTTTTTATTAACGTTTCGTGGAATGTTAGAATGAGAAACATACCTTGAAAAAGAGATATTTGAAAAGAAAAAAAAGAGTATCAAAATGTTAGGAATAACAATAATGTAGACAATGAAGAGAAGAGAGTAAGTGCTGCAAATTTGTGAATTCCATTATTAAAAATATGATGGCGAGCGAGAATAACAATAATGAGATGAGGTGGATAAGCTTTATAAATAATAATTCCGATGAGATGGAAGGAAATCTTTTAAGAGTTGTATTAACAATTAATGAATTATTTATTACTCAATTTCTCAATCAATTAAATAGAACTACAACTATTAAATGAAAATCAATGTAAAATAAATAGTTCATTTGAAACATTGAAACCTCTATATTTATTTAATAATAAGTTAACACGTTATTCTTTCACCATTTTTCAATAACAATCTCACAACATGTTCTCATAGAATTCACTAAATTAATTAGAACTGAATCAGGAATTCCCCATTCTTCCTTCATAAATTGTTCCAAAATTGCCACAATTATCAGGTATTCTTTTTCTCTACGTTTGTCTTATTCCAGAGATTTTCAATCTGGACTATTGGATGGCTAGTCCATTACTTCGGGAACATTGTCATTGAAAAATGATCGGTGATTCTGCTGATACATTTAGGATCATTATCCTCTTGGAACCGCCAATCATCTCATTGATCTCTGGAATATGTCTTTCAACAATTTCCATATATAATTTTGCATCCGTTATTTCAAAATAGAGAGGTTTTTCCTTGGATACAAAATCCACCCCAAGCTAAAATTTTGGTTCTATCTTTTGGAATGCATCGGATTGGCCCTTCTCCCCTATGCCAACATGATACAGTGTTTCTAAACAGTTGAAAAGCAGTCTCGTCACTGAATAATGTCTTTGACCAGATAATTAGTTGCTCATTCAACGCGTTTTTCTTTATGTTTTGCAGTCAACATAGGGGTAGCTTGAGGAATGCTTTTTTGATAACCATGCTCTTTTAAATATCTTGATATTGTCATGTGAGACACATTTACATCATTTACAAACACTTAATTTGTCAAAGCTCTTAATGACAAAGAGGTATCTCTACGAATATATTGATCAATGGCATGTGCTGCGCCTCCCGTGGTCTTTTTTTGGTCGGCCATTACCTCCTTTATGCGAAACTTCATCTGTTTTCTTTAAATTTTTAATATTGTAATAGATAGTTGAGATTGGTATATTGGTCATAGCATGTAATTCTTTTGCAGAGTGCACACCATTGTTCCAAAAGTATAATATGGTTTGACATTGAGTTTCCTTCTCAGAAGAAGACATTTTGAAAATCAATCATAAAAAAATTTGCGTAACAATAGCAATTATTTTTTTTTTTTTTGCTGAGTGAGGTCTGACCAAACATTTTATGGTGGTGTGACCCACTATCCAAAACCTTGAATGGATATGCCTACTGATCCATGGCATCGCCATAGCTCAATTCCACTCTTTTATTAAATAAAATTAGGTTTTCGGTACATATGTTTACATAATAATTTGTTAAAATTTCACTTCTATTTCTATTGCTATTATTACTATTGTTCCTACTTCCAGTTAGTGATGGGCATAAAAATTATTTTGAAAAATGACCAAGTTATTAAGTACTTAATAACTCTATTATTAAGTGTTAAAAACACAAACATG